TGAGCGCGGTGTTGGACGTGCTGTGGGAGGACAGAGATGTCCGCTTCGACATCTCCCCGCAGTGAGTCTCGTTGCCCTGCCCTCCCCTTACAGCAAGGCTTTCAGACCCGTCCGGCGTCTGACAGTAGCCTGAGCGCTGACTCTCAGTAGACTGGGCGCGGCCGCCATTTTTGGCGCGGTGCATGCTGGGCGCCTTCCCTGCGTGGTGGGGGTCTCGTCACGTGACAGGGCGCGGGGCGGGAGCGTGTGCTTTGCTGGTAGGGCGGGAAAAGGCCGTTGGGAGTGAGGCGGGCTGGCAGGGGCAGCTTTTGGTAGGTGGAGTCTAGTCACAGTTTCTAATCTAGAAAAGAAAAAGGCGGGGGAAGGTTGCATACTGGACGACTGAGGGAAAGGTGTTCTTCTCCCACCGCCTGTAGTGTTACCGGTGCTGAAAAGAAAGAAAAACTTCGTGTGTGTCTGAGGGAACAGTACCGGCCACTGATGACATGGTAACGGGTGGTGGCTGTGCAGCCTCTGAGGGGCCAGAGCTGAAGGGTTGTCATGTACATCCGTTCACTCCTGTGTGCCTTGACCTCTGGTGAGCTGTCAGCCTTATCTGAGACATAAAACTCCTGCTCTGGTTTCTGTGCCAAAACCCTGCACAGCTTTTGTAATATGAAGCTACAAATTAGCTGGTTGGTGATGATTTTGGGGGTGGAGGCTGAAAGTGTACAATCATGCTTCATCTAGCTCATACTCAGTTGACCCTACTGAGAACACCCCTTGTCCTTCAGATATGATGCCTGCACTAATTTTAGAAGTGGGAAATTGTACTTCAGCTATTTAAGCAGTTCTGTCTTATTTTCTTGTAGGATTGTTATGTGGACAGAGCCTCCTTCCATATTTTCTTTAATGCTAGTGTTACTATTCTTGCTACCTCCTGTCTATTATCTTTTGTGCTGTTCTGGTGATGTATTGTTGAGTCTACATCTGGTGGTCTTGATCCTGATCTCTAGTAGTATCTCATGGAATTCCCTTCCTGATAATGCATTTTGTTTCTGTCATGCCAATACACTGAAGAGCTTTGGCTGCTTTACACATTCCACACAACATCTGTTCTTAATGTAATTAAGTGGTTAGACCAGTTAAATCAAGCAAAATACAAAACAAACAACCCAAAAAGCATCCCCCCCCCCCCAAAAAAAAAAAACCAAAACCAAACCATACCCTTTTTAGAAATTGTAGCAGAGCATTTCATGTGTTGGTATGCATCTGATATTTCTCTTGCTGGCATCTCTTCTTTCCCGAGTCTAGCTCCACTCTTTATGACCTAAAAGTACAGCAAGAGACAACAAACTCTGGGCATTAAAAATTATGTGAATGTGACTTTTTCTCTTTTCCCTCCCATTTTCACACACTTTCTCCCTATTTTGGGGTATAGATTGCTTGGTCACACTTGCTACATAATTATTTATCTACTGCTATAATTTAATAAAAAAGTTATTAATATTTGCCATATGCTGAATGTAGTGATAACAATTTCAGCTATGTAACGTTGATTTGTGGATTTTTCATTGTGTGATGCACTAAGCAAAAGAAGGAGAAAGGAAAGTGAAGTGGGGAAATAGAAATGGTCTTCTTTTGGAGGATAAATCTAATCTATTTTTCATTAGGTAATTTTTTTAATTTATTTATTTTTCTTTTAGGCAAATGAAAATGAGACCTGGAGAGGTTCTTATAGACTGCTTAGAGTCTGTTGAAGATACCAAAGGAAACAATGGAGACAGAGGTAACTGCGTACTCAGGGAAATTGTAAACTTTCTAATATATAACCTCTGTAGTTTCATGAAGGCCCTGTCTGGTTGCCATTGAACTCTGTATCGGTGGTCTGTTGCAGAAAATAGATCCTGCCAGTTTCACAAATCTGTCTCCCCTTGGAGTACTTTCAAATAGGATCTCTTGTTCAAAGTTATAGGAAGGTGATAATCTTGTCTCAGAATTTGTTTAGAATTGAAAGCCTTGTAAGAATAATCCATTTATAAAAATTGTGGTGATCTTTTTATGTAATCCTGTTTAATGTTTTACTAACCTGGTTTAAACTGAATCAGTAAGGAATATATATAGCGTGCAAGGGCTTGAAGCTGCCAGCATGCTGAGATGGCCCTTCTCGGGGATTGATGTGCTGCTGTACAGGGTACAGAATCAAAGAAATTTGCATGTGACATAAAGGGGTGAGGTTATTCATGAAGACAGCTGCGATAGTTAACTCACTGCCTTCTCCTTCTCCTTCCCAGGGCAGTTCTGCACTGATTGTGTCTCTGCATTTTTAACATAGGCAGGTAGATGTGAAATCAGTAACTGTTCTTGGTTTGGTTTTGAGGAATGCTGGTATGTATTAGAGGTTGTTTCATTTGTTCCTTTCTGGATTTCTCTCCTAGCATTCAAAAAAAAAAGTGCTTAGTGATTTTTCTGCTGGGTTGTCCTGTGTTTTTCTTCTTTTTCTTAACAAGGGGAAGGAATATTCTCGTGTTTCAAAGTTAGAGGTAAATATGTACCACAGAATGGAGCATCTAATTTCATGGAAGTTATTCAGATTAAAAATTTCTATATTCTTTATTTCCAGGTAGACTGCTTGTGACAAATTTGCGGATTATTTGGCGCTCATTGTCATTGCCCAGAGTCAATCTCTGTAAGTATCATCTCCTGTTAAACGACTGCAAATTTTGTGTCTCCTTTGTGGTGGCACACTGTTCTTTCACAGTAGTATTGATTACACTGCAGAATAGTAAAGTGTAATTCTGTTGCTCTATAAAGTCTGAAATAAACTGTAACTAATTAATCTATTTGTAATATAGGAACTGTTATAATAATTCATAGCAAAATATTACTATTCAATTTTAATTTCTCAGAACAGAAGTTGAAGAGTACTTCAGACATATTTTTCATTTTGCCTTATGTGGGATTCATTCGTTTTTCTAGAAAGAAGCAAAAGTTCGAGTTTCTTCACACCTTGCTTTACTTGTACCTCTTGTTGCCACCTGTTTATTCGCATTCTGTACTGTCCTACAGTTTTCCCCACACATACCTGCCTTTCCAAGTCTACTATTGTAAACTCTGAATAAGCTTCTAATTTTAACTGTATGAGTAGCTAGCAAGCTTACTCATATTTAATTTAATTTACTGAAACAGGGGCAGGATGCATTTGCTTTGCAGCCAGACTATTTCCAGTGCTCAGTTCCCAATAGCCAATCAATATTGAAAATCTGTATTCTGTTCATAATGTATATAAACTTATGTACTCTGCCTGCTTGCTCTTCTGCAGATGCACCATTTTAGGGCATCTGTCTGTTTTAGGAAGGATGGCTGGGATTGTTTCTGTTTTTATTTTGTATCAGAGTACTACTGTAGAAGAGGCAAAGTGAAATTTATAACTGGTTTTTCCTCCTCCTCTTTTTGTTTCTTCTCCACTTATACTTTCCATTTTGCTGCTTTTTTAATTTGTCATCTCCTTAGCTCTTCTTCTACAGAGTATTATATTGATGTAGAAAGTTTTATTTATAAGGGTAAACTTCACAGGCAACATCATGATGAAACAGAACTCCTTGAGGCAACAGTCAAATGCTGAAACAAGAGAAATTCTCATTAGCTATTAGGAGAAAAATATTCACAATGATGGCAGTCAAACAGTGGAACAGGCCCCCAGAGTGGTTGTGGAATCTCCTTCTTTGGAAATATTCAAAACTCAATGGGACAGTACCCTGACCAGCCAGATGGAGTTGGTCCTGCTTTGAGAAGGGACGAGACAACCTCCCAAGGTCCTTTCCAGCTTGAATTAGTCTTTGATTTTTGTGATGAGGGCCCAGACCATTAGCCGCAATGTGTTATTGTCACAAATAGCACCCAAAGCTATGCTACAAAATTCAATATTGTACTTTGTAATTTTGACTGTTACTTTTTCTTGTTCTCAAAACTCTTTTGTGTTTTTTTTCTCCCCTAACTTTTAGCTGTTGGTTACAACTGCATTATAAATATAACTACAAGAACTGCCAACTCAGTAAGTTTCAAAAAAAACTTTTTAAAATAATAAAAGAAGCTGTAATTTATTGTTTATACTTAATTGCACTATATCAACAAGAATCTGAAAGTTTACTTGGAAGCACAGTAATAGACTAGTAATGGAAGTTTAGTTTTGAAAGTTCAGAGTTTTACATTTCTATAGGAGTGTGTTTTTAGTCAGTTTTCTAAGGCAGTAAAACTCATGTAATCACACTGTTTAGTGATTCTTCTCCCCTATAGGTAAGTCAAGCACATGTTGGCTCATTGTGTCTAAATTTAGCAAAGGTGTAGAGAGGCACTAATTTTGTGCAAGAAAGCTCTACATACACAAATTCATACATAGGATGAATTACGTGCAGCTGTGAAGCCATTTGTTTGGCTTGCAGCAAAGAACTAGCAGAGAGATTATATAGGTTCCCCAGGCAGCCACATAGTAACAAAGCCAAAATTACTGTTTCAGTCATGATAGTGTAAATGTATAGCAGGCAGGCAGCATTACTTCTACTGCTAGTTTCTCTGAAGAACAGTTCAGTTAAAGACAGCGGTAGATCAGTGGTAAAACCAGGATTATACCTTCAGATACACTATTTAGAACAAGAATTCAGAAAATATGTCAAAATTATTTATTGCCTGTGCAGTTAAGCTACTATATTGTCAAAATGTTCAATTTCATTTTTTCCTTACAGAAATTACGAGGGCAGACAGAAGCTCTGTATATATTGACTAAGTGTAACAATACACGGTTTGAATTCATATTTACCAATGTTGTCCCTGGGAGTCCCAGACTCTTCACTTCAGTTATCGCTGTACACAGGTAGCATACCTGAAATAGTGTTTGTTCATTTACAAAATTCAGTGAGTCAAATATGTGGGATCAGTACTGCTGATGGACCGAGTATATAACTGACCATATTTAACATTCAGAAAACTTTCACAAAAGAGGAGAACACAATCTCTGGAAGGGAGAGAATGATCACAAATTCTACGACATAACCGTGCATAGTGAAAATTAATATTTATTAATACCAGTCATTGATCACAGTTTATACACCTTGTGTGTATAAACTATCTGAACAAATAGAAGTACAGAAGAGCTAATTTCAGTGTGCATATTCTATCTGTAATTTTGGTCTATGTAATGGAAATGAAGAGTTAAATCCTGGTCAGAACTCTGACTACAAATTATGGATATTTCCCGCCTAAAGAAAAGTCATCTGAATGAATGTGTGCATAATACATTACCATAGGTTTCTATTTGAGAGCTAATGGAATACTGACATACGTATATTGTATGTTTGTGACTTAACCGGCACTGAAAAATAAAAGGTTCTTGACGTCCATGCTATGTATAACATGGGACCAAGAAGACTTATGCTTTGCAATAGAGGCTGGGAGATGACTATCTTAAGGAAAAAAAAGAAATAGCATACACGTGAACAATACAGAACATCAAAACAGATATCAGAAAAACCTTCTTAAGGTTAAAGATAATTTCATTAGGGAAAGTTGAAGTGTAATGGTTTACGTTGATGATAGTGCTCTCATTTTTGTGGAATGTGGTGATAAGAAAAGTTGAAAAAATACGACATTTCATATTGGTGCTAAAACAAACAGTAAAGATAATAGAAAAAATGAAATGGTAACATGTTTGGGTTTGGGTCTGGGGTTTTTTTGCAGAGCTTATGAAACTTCTAAAATGTATCGTGATCTGAAGCTGAGAAGTGCATTGATTCAAAACAAGCAACTGAGATTATTACCACAAGAACAAATATATGATAAAATCAATGGAGTTTGGAATTTATCAAGTGACCAGGTAAAGTGAAAAATGAGACTACGTTGACTACAGCAAAGTTAAAATGTTTTGGCTTTCATCTAGCAGTTGTACTACTATAATTTTGTAACCTCAGAAGAATTACCCTTAATTCAGTTCATCAGCTGATGCATGTGGAGAAGCTGATCCCATGTATTTTCTACTCAGTACAACAAAGTCTCTTTTTGGCAACCTGAAGTCTACATGACTCGACTAATATGCAAGAAACTACATATACAGCTCCTGTTAAAATGAGGTATTTATGAGTCTAAAGCTCTGTATCATCCTGAAAGACAATCATGCTATTTCCAAAGTGCTCTGCTGAATATGTGCATGTTTACATGCAGCTTTGACTATAGTGCTAAACTATACTGTCTTTTGGTTACTGGAAATTGAAAATATTGGAATAGGAATCTGTGGCTTAAAACATGAAAAAATAAAGACTTTAAGGAAAAAATAAAAAACATTTCTGTTATTTTACAGGGCATTTGTTGCAAGTATTTCCTAGAGCCATGAAACAAAATGGGAGCTGTTATTTCTGTCTGTGCAATTTTAGTTGAGAAGGAAATATGATCCACCCTGACAGGCTAAAAAGTTCTTTCCTCTACATTCCCTTGGCACACATCTCCACAATTGCCGAAGTTTAACCCACATGCCATTATACCTACGCCATACACCAATTCCAGATCTGTACAGTTAAGAACACTCTCAGATGCTTCATGTACTCCCATGAGGTCTGCTATGCTGTGATTTGATCCTGCTTTGCTGCAGTAATAGGTACTCCCAGCTATTTTCACCACTCGGGTACTGTATCCTTTAAAGATTGGATCTTGCTGCCTTGCCATCAATAGAAGCATTTTGACTGGTTTTTGTGGGAAAGAATCAGGCTTTTATTGATTAAATATGAAGCTGTATCCTGCTTGTGTTTAAATGGGTAGCAGTAATCATCATGTTTGGAAAGGTTGTATACTTCATAGCAGTTCTAACACACCTTTTCTTTAATAGGGAAATTTGGGAACGTTTTTTGTTACTAATGTGAGAATAGTTTGGCATGCAAATATGAATGACAGCTTTAATGTCAGCATACCATATCTACAAATTGTAAGTATCTTAAAACAGCCATTTTCAAAATGAAATGGCATAAGTTCAAGTTTTCAGTTAACACTCTCAGATCACCTAAATTGGTATTTCATGTCCCACAGTCAGCGATGAATTTAGTCTTACCAGCATCAACCACAGGGTAGATTTTTTTTTTTCTGTCCAGATCAATTAGGGGCTTCCATGGGCAGGTACAGATGTTGAAAATGGATTGTATTTCTAATTTTCAAACTTATTTACTGTGATGCTCCATGCCACTTCCCTACAATGAGATTAATGATCTGTGAACCTGATGTTCAGAAATGAACTATTACCACTGTTACCAATTCTGATAAAAACATTTTTCCCTGAGGTTTCCCTGGTTCAGTTTTGTAATGATAAATGGGAGGGAATGCTGGTAGCCAAGCTTCCAGAAACAGTAATTGTAATTAGTACAGTGTAAAGAAAAAAAAATTAAAAATAGATAAAGCAGATTTTTATCAAGTAATTCCAAAATTTTTAACAAACATTTTTTATCTCTTTGCCATTAGCGTTCAATAAAAATAAGAGACTCAAAGTTTGGGTTGGCACTTGTGATAGAGAGTTCTCAGCAGGTAAGAAGCTTTAATAGCCTTTTTTCATTGGTTACGTTTTTATATATAATAGTTCTCTAATTCTGAAATGTTACAGGGCTACTTTTAAGGTATGTAGAGTGTTCCTTCTCTGTGGCCTTTTGAACACAACTTTTTAAAAAAGTCCTCTTTGCACTGCTTAAAATGTCTGTATGTTAAGGTCAGTGTGGCTATGGTGAGTTATGGTTTCTCTAAGTGAAGCAACAATAGGCCAGCATGACTAGTTAAAATGAAGTAAAACAACTGTTAAAAACTGTCTTATGACAGATTATCTTTGGGATCTAATTACTTCTATAATTAATTAAGACCATTATTTTAAATATTTTTCACTTGTGTATATATTTTGCTGTAAGAGACAAAATTATTTTTCTTCCATTTGACCTTAATGAGAAATGTTTTTAATGGTGATTTTTTTTTTTTTAAGTTCAGATAACTTTATTGACTGTATCTGAGAGCTTCTTTAATAACAACATCAAGATCTAACAGATTTCTTGATCTAAACGTTTGCTGAGTAGCTAGGAATAAATCATGAGTATTATTTCTGACTTTCTCCCACCCTTGTTTGCTTTCATTTTTCTGTGTAAGAAGTTTGTTCCCCATTTATATAATGGACTAACACTTAAAAGCTTATTGACCTCATAGAGGAACAGTCATTGGTTTTATCTCACCCGTGGTTTAAGTGGCAGAATGAAAATAAGATAATACCAAAATACGGGTAATGTTTTATCAGCAAACTGAAACTTGCTATCATTAACCTACAAATCTCCACCGAGGGGAAAAAGTTGTTTAAATAATAAGCAGCACTAATAAATATGTCTTCTTTTTTTTTTCTCTGTTATATAGAGTGGAGGATATGTACTTGGTTTTAAAATAGACCCCGTGGAGAAACTACAGGAGGCAGTGAAAGAAATTAATTCACTTCACAGGGTTTATTCAGTTAACCCTATATTTGGAGTGGATTATGAAATGGAAGAAAAGGTACTCCACTCATTTACTTTAAATTAGATACAATATTGTGTTAATAGCTGTAATAAAAATACATTAAAGATAATAGATATATGGAGTTACTTACTTCAGTGTTTTAATTTGCAGCCTCAATCTCTTGAAGACCTAACAGTGGAGCAAGTTCAAGATGATGTGGAAATCGAATCTGATGAACATACAGATGCTTTTGTGGTAAGATGCTCCACAGAAATCTAAAAAATAAAATAATTCTTGTTTGGTTATTCATTTGTAAGCAATGTACAGCTGTAATCCTCTATTAAAGATAAGCTACAACTGAACTTTCTATATTTAAAACACACCTACAGCCTGTTATTCAAAATCCTGATTACTACAGGAATTTATTCTGTATATGGACTTTTAACTTCAGAACAAATTATTATTGAAAATAAATAGTAGTAGGTATTTAAAGTAGTAGTTCTATGTAGTTTCTCAACACATTAAGATCAGGAATAGTTTGAAAACCAGGAGTATAATACAGTCAAATACATTATATTAAAACAAGTCTTCATTCTTTTGGAGCAGATTAATAAATGACAATATACTCTCAACATTCATCTAAGATTCAAACTTGAAAGATATTTAGAAAAGGAGCAATAATTTTGAGTCACTCCTGGCAACCGTTGCACTCCTGACAATACTGATTTGGAAAACTGTATTAGTATCAATTTCCCAGTATTTCAGGAAAATTTACTTCTAAATGGATGTTGCCCAGGAGTTTCATGACCTTTCTTCTAGGAATTTCCACATTTACTGTGCAACTCACTAAGATCTTACTGCATGATGGACTGCATAGGGAGACTGCACACGTTTTCAAGTGCTAGCCTTGACCCATTGACAATTGACATGTTTTCATAATTCTCCTCTGAAATTTGGTAAACTAGCAGTACTAACACCAATCTTATTTCCACCCTCTTTCCTTTTGCTATCATTTATTGATGCAGATAAAGTCTTACATGTTCCTTTCCCTCTTTTTTCCTCACTTTTTGCCTTTTCTTCATTTCATTTCTGCAGTTTTATTCCATCTTCAATGTAGTTGAAGACCTTTTTCTTAAAGGCAGATTCTGTTTGCTTTAGTGGTGCTTTTGTCACCTGGATTAAATAACTGTGCGTTGTATATTCTAAAACAAAAACTGGAAGCTGTCAATGACTAGAAGGTGGTTGCTATAGGAGACAGGCTTATGCAGGACCCCAGGACTGTCTCACGTCAAGCGTCATGGAATATTGGTGACTGTGATGCTGTTCTGTAGGGTCTTGTATAGCTTGAGATCCAGTGGAGCAGGAAAACCCTTTCTTTGCTGCCCCTTGCCAGTCCATAGGGACAGCTGAAGCAAGATCAAGGTTTTTTGGTAAATGTGAAATCTAGAGCCTGCTGGTCCAGAGACTTCTAGAGCTTTGGATATTTTCAGAGATCTCGAGTTCTGAGGAATTTGAGTCTTAATTTTCCCAGATCTCTGTCTGAGAGTAGAATAATTTAGCTAATTGTATAGTTACTCTGTGTTTATTTCTTAGATTGAGTATAATGTTAACTGGCTTTTGGTATTACTTACACATTTTAAGTATTTTTTAAAAATTGAATAACAAATGCTGCTGCATGTGAGGCAAAAAATACTAGGGTGCTGTCAGTTTTCTTTAATCTTAACATTTTATTCTGTATAAAGTATTTGTCAGTGTAACAAATGTAATATGAAAATTTTACCATTTAAAAATCTTTGTTTATTATGATGGAAAATTTGAAGCCTGGTATTTAATGAAAAATACCATAATCACCAACTCCTGTTAGAACCCTTTTGTAAATTATTTCAACACAGAAAAAACTTTGATCTTGTTTGTAAAACAGAAATAAACACCATACAGACTGGTTGGTTGATGAAAGCTTACCAAATACAGTTTTGACACCAAGGAATTATTAGGAGATCTGTTTTAAGACTGTATTTTTTGCCTCAAGGTTGTGAGTTCATTTTCTTTCTTTTGCAGGCTTACTTTGCTGATGAAAACAAGGTAAGAACATCTTTTTTCATACTGTCAAATTCATGTTGTTAAAATGGAATAATCAAGTTTAAAAGTACCTTATGTTTTATTTTATTTTCTTTCATATCTCTTGCATTCAAAAAGCAACATGATCGGGAGCCTGTTTTTTCAGAAGAACTAGGACTTGCAATAGAGAAGCTAAAGGACGGATTCACACTCGAGGGACTCTGGGAAGTAATGACCTGATTTAGATCAGTACATGTTTGTTTCCTAAGCAAGGAAGGACTCTCACTTCTTACCGGGCTTGTGAGATCCATAGAAAACAATTGAGAAATACCAGAGTAGAGGAGAAAGAACATCCTAAAGCTAAAGAGCAGGCAAATAGTAATTAATATGCCATCAGGTTCTCTCATAAAGGAAAGATTGTTCAAAACCCTTGTATGTGTAAAGGCTTTTTATTTATTACGTTGTTTCTGTGAGTAGTGGGAGGACAACGAATAGCTAATATAAGAAGGGGCGGAGCCCCAGCTGCTGGTGGAAGCCCCGCCCCCCGCAGGCAGTCACGTGTTCCACAAGCTCCAGAAGTCCTGCCCTTCCTCTGGTCACATGGTGTAAGGACAGACCTCCTCCCCCCTTCCCCTCAGGTTATAAGGACCTGGAAGTCCCTCCCTGCTACATGCATGGTGGCTGCCATTTTATTTCAGCCACCATTATGTCAAATGTCATACCTCCACGTGTTTTCATACTGCTTTGTGATTGGCTGACTGCAGGTTTTGACACGCTCGTACCGCAGGTGTTTTCAGGCCTCTGATTGGCAGGCCCAGCCACCCCATGCTGCTTCCCCCAGAAGGCTGTCGGAGCAGGAAGCCGCCTCCCCTAACAACACAGGGTCCACCATGGTGTTTCAGCCACCGTTTTGTGACAGGTAGCCACCAATTTTTTTATGACTTCATGAGCTGTGTGTTTACATACTGCCCTGTGACTGGCTGCCAGGACAGCCACCCCCTGCCATTTTACCTAGAAGTGTGTCAGGAGGAAGCCTCCTCTTTCTATGTACACGGAGACCACTATTTGTGATAGGACAGTGTGTGGTATATAGTTTGATGCTCAGTTTAAAATACTCATGTATTTATACACAGTGATGTACTTTCCCATAATGATTATATCTAAATCAGATTTCCATAACTTGTTTAATGTTGTGCAATGTAGAAACATTATCATATACAGAACATTTTATATCTAGGCATATTGGCTGTGTCATTGCAACAGTGGTGTGTTACTGATAACTTTGTCAAAAAGCAATACTGTTCCAAATACTAGTTTTCATGTCTCATAGTTTTGTTAAACGTTCAGCACATATCATTCCAGGAACTTAGCTGTAATCCAGATATCCTGATACAGGTTTGGTTTGTTTTTTTTTTTGCTAGAGCACTTTTTTTAAGGAATGTTCTAGAAAAAAGTGCACACACAAATAGCTTCTGTGTCTGACTCATTAGACCTTCATGATGTTACGTGTTAGAGAGAAATGAGTCATTTATTGTTTAAAGGAAGATGCAGCTGTTAAATTTTCTAGTGAGATAAGACCTCCGCGCTATTTTCTATAAGTGGAAAAAGTCAAATGAGCTCTCCTCTCAGCTGTTGTTTTAGCAGCTGACTGTTGTAGTAAAGTAACTGTGGTGTGAATGTAATTGTGGTGTTTGTAGAAAATCTTTCAAGGTATATATTTTAATGAAATACTACCTATATTGAAGAGCAATCATGATTTCAATAAACTTTGATAATGTTATAGTTCATTGCATTCAAATAGTTGTGCTTTGATCCTGTTTTGATTACATTCAAAGAACATTTTAACACATGGTTAAAAAGCATTCTCTGTATGAGCAAAATACTGTCCTTCATCAAGGTGCATTAAACAACTTAAAATTTCAAATTTGTTTTGGATCTATATTCCCACCATAAACAAAAATCTAAATGTTCACAGTCTAAATTGTAAGACCTTCAACATATGCATAATTTTTCTAAATTCACATTCATTTTTCAAACTATTTGTCTGATATGGGGATTTTTTATTTTAAATTCCCATTTTTTTTTTTTTAAATTACACATCTATTAAATAATGTTAATACAGTGGATTACATGTTTTCCATTCTCTGTTCTACCTTTCCTATATACTGTTTTCAGTTTAGTTTAACAGCAGTTAACACCATTTCTAGTACAGTCAAATTTAAAAGGATTGATAATGTCTACAGATTATCTGAAATGAGGAATGGTGTTTATTAAGGGCAGGGTGGAGACCTCATTTTAAATTATTTTTGAAAGCAGAACTTTACCCAAATAATGTATTTTTTTTGTCTCAACAGTAGGATTTTGTTTACAAATAAATACAATAGAATGGATATTAAGAAGAAGCTCAAAATTAATTTCAAAGTCTTACCATATCTGAAGAAATTGCAGATGTGATATGGGTATGTTAAAAAGTAATCTTAGAGCATAGATAATTGATGCAAAGTTCTGTAGTTTTTTTAATATCTTTATGACTACAGCAATGAGATGTATTAAGCAACAAGCAAAGTAAACAGTAATTGCAGCTGACAACTTGATTAATAATATCTCTATTTCAGAATATTTGGTAACATGTATATTTGCAATCTTGCTCATAGCAGTCTCACTGAGGGTCAGATTCTGCTGTCCTTACTCATGTCAAATAATTTCTTACATTGCACATAATCTCATCGATTCAATGTGGGGAATGATGGCAAAACATGACCATAGTGACTAAAAGCAACAGTTGCTTCTTTCAGTCTCTGACAGCTGTGAGAGCAACTCTTTTTTTTCCAAACCATCCATCCTAAATTCCAACCTGTAAGAGCATGTACCTATATTTAGCTATCGAGATTAAGTTGCTGAGGCTTCAGGCCGAGCAAAGCACATTGGTCTGCCCTTTTTACAGACAGACCTTTGCGCAGACAACAGCTAAACCTTTCTGCTCCCTCCCCTTTCCCAAGTATTTGCAAAATGGATTCCCAAAGGGAACTCACTGAAGAGCTCAGACTTTACCAATCCACCCTTCTTCAGGATGGCCTCAAGGAACTCCTCGAAGAGAAAAAGTTCATAGATTGCTCTTTAAAAGCTGGTGACAGAAGCCTGCCTTGCCACAGATTGATTCTGTCGGCATGTAGCCCTTATTTTCGTGAGTATTTCTTAACTGAGCAAAATGAAGAGAAAAAGAAGGAGGTAGTTCTAGATAATGTTGACCCCAACATCCTGGATATGATTGTCAAATACCTTTATTCAGCAACTATTGATCTTAATGATTCTAATGTGCAAGACATTTTTGCTTTGGCCAGTCGCTTTCAGATCCCTTCTGTATTCACTGTGTGCGTCTCCTATCTTCAGAAGAGGCTTGCTGTTGGTAACTGTCTGGCCATCCTTAGATTAGGTGTTCTGCTTGATTGCCCAAGACTTGCATTTTCTGCCCGTGATTTTGTCTCAGATCATTTTGTGCAGATCTGCAAAGAAGAGGACTTCATGCAGCTTGCCGCGCATGAACTTATCTCAGTTATTTCACCTGACAGCTTAAATGTAGAGAAAGAAGAACTGGTATTTGAAGCTGTAATGAGGTGGGTCCGAACAGACAAGGAGAACAGAGTAAAGAGCCTGGGGGAAATTTTTGACTGCATACGTTTTCGTCTTATGCCAGAAAAATATTTCAAAGAACATGTTGAGAAGGATGATATAATTAAAAGCAACTCAGACCTTCAGAAAAAAGTAAAGATTATTAAGGATGCTTTTGCTGGAAAACTGCCTGACTCGAGCAAAAGTACGGAAAAGTCAAACAAAGGGGAGGTGAATGGTGATGTAGGAGATGAAGATTTATTGCCTGGCTACTTAAATGACCTTCCCAGGCACGGAATGTTTGTCAAAGACCTAATTCTACTGGTTAATGACACTGCTGCAGTAGCTTATGATCCTCTTGAAAATGAATGCTACCTAGCAGCCCTGGCAGAACAGATTCCCAGAAATCATTCCAGTATAGTCACCAAACAAAACCAGGTCTACATTGTTGGAGGACTGTACGTGGAAGAGGAGAACAAGGATCAGCCTTTCCAGTCATACTTCTTCCAGGTATAAACTTTGTAATTGTTGGTGCAATAATAGGTGCTTAAGAGTTACTGAAAAGTACTTTGAGTCTATGTATGCAAATGAGTTGTCTAGTCTCTCTGTACAATCACTGGAGAGAAGAATATATAGAGAGCTATTCCTGTCTCAGAAAGATAAATGAAACCAAGGGACTGGCATCTTCTTGTTCAAGATCAAGCCCCTGGTGAGATCTCAGGAAAGATTAAAAGTATTAGTATATTATATCTAGGCACTGGCTTTCATTGTTTATGAGGATATTATATCTAGGCACTGGCTTTCATCACTTAAGGCCCAGATTTTTCATGGTACAGATGCCTAAATTTAAGTAAAATAATATTTTTGAAAATTCCTTCTGTGAATTTCTATTAACTTCCATGAATGTTGAGCGCTTAGCTGCTTTAGATCTAATGAGATGTCTTTGGTTTTTGCATCTGAAATATTTTTAAGACAGCAGTAACTTGCATATTTTAAATGCCACTTTTGTCACTAAAATTCCTGAAGTCCTTTTGTCATACCTACATTTGAAAGCCTAAGGGCATTCTAAAATACCTAGTTTAGAGGTGGAAGGTTGTTTTCTTGGCAAACTGCCAATGTCAGTAGACTAAATACTATGTTTTAACTGAGAGGATAATTTTGTATCTTTGTAAAGCTGTATAAATATAAGGCCAATTAATACAAACTCTAACTTCCACAGCACATTTCAGAATATTAGCAAAAATACAATTTGGCATGCTTACTCCCTAAATGAATTCTGTTGTGTTTTTAACTACCTGACTACCTGCTTTGGGGGATATTTAAACTATCCCATGATGAATTATGATGCCGGCCACGTCCTGTCTTTAGGCACATTGGCCTAAAGGAGTGAAAGTAGTCCCTTTTTCAGTATGAAGTAAAGCAGAGTGATAAGCTGTGCTAGAAATTTTGAGCCTTCAGATATTAAAAATGCAAATATTGTTTATAGTAGTATGGCTCACTGTAATTTCACAGACAATGAAAGAGCTTGTTTCAGGCATTTGTTACACCTATGAGGGGGGAGTCTTCATTTGCTAGAGAGGGATTAGCATTGTTTCATTTCCCTATGTAGGTGTAAACCACTAATCACTGAAGTGCAAAACTTATTACAGAAATACTTTTCCAATAGAAATACTATGTTGATGTCAAAACATACATAATCCAGAACTGAATAGTCAAAGTCTCAGGCTACTAGAAAGGGGCCTCTGAAAA